AATTATAAGGTATGCATAACACTTGAATATAACAGAAAATTCAAATTTTAGTCTTATTCAATACAATTGCCCATCTATTTAGTCTGTTTAGTTTCTTAATAAGTCAAACGATAATAGAAAAATGTCCAACTTTATCTTAGAATGAGGATGACGGAAATACCAGAACAATTTAAACTTCAGCGACAGTTCACAAGACCTTGTGCTGCTTCCAAGTCACCAACTTTAATAGTGCTTGCTTGTTCAGCCTTCACTTGCCCACTGGCTGCTTCAGTCAGTCAATTGCGATATTTTCATGATGTACTTCCCTCATTCAACACGTGGCGCCTCTTGATGGCCGTCTTCCTCGTGCAGCTTTGCGATCAGATGCTGTTGGCCTTCATCGACGCAGTAAGTGTTCTACTGTACCGCTCTTAGTCACAACACGAAGGCTGAGGTTCTTTTAACTGATGTTTAATGCTCTCTGGACTCAGACATCAACACAGTAGAACTAAAAGGATGAATATACAACAAAAAACATGTATACAGTCAGTTACATAGAAAACACATATGACTTTAAACTCGTACATAAACAGAAAATACATACCACTTTTGCCTGCTTGTGAGCTAAGAGAGGGGTTTACATCTTGAAGCTTCTTGATTGCATGACTTATAATCATAAAAAGAAATACTTTAAACTTTGCGATGATTACATCGTTTTATAATCAGCAGAATTTGTAAAAACTCCGACCGCAGTTCTGACTCATTGTTCCGTGGCAAAAAAAAAAACAGGAAGTGACATACAAAGACACGATGGGAACAAAATAAAATATACCCAAAAAACTCTTAGAAAGAATAATTATTGCTCAAATATACAACAGTTGAGTATATAAATCACAAAAAGCATTATAAAATAGTTGAAATATAAAAATGTACAGATTAAACTGATTCAAAGCTGCTGAAATAAATGAGTGTTGAAGTACACAAGCGCCATCTAGTGGAAATAAACATTGTAGACACCCAAAGCTTTGTGACAGCAAACACAGTTAACTTCCCCAATAACCGATTAGTGCAGGCTACTGTTGTAGTCATGGTTGTCATGTCATCTATGTATGCTCTGATTGGTGGTAGTCGCATCCAGAAGCCAAGCGCTCTCCTCCTACTACCCATCTTGATGCCCTAATGATTACTTCCATTGCCATGGTAAAAGCCAGTGGAGAAATGGTGCATCCTGCCCATGGGCGTAGGTTTGGTCTCAGCTTTGGTGGGGACAAACCCCCCCCCCCCCCCCCAGGAATTATTTTGTTGTAAGATAAGTAACAGTGCTTTAATGGCGATGTCCTTTGTCATTTCAGACTGCTGGCAATACAGAATATCACATAAGTGAATCTACTTCATCTCATTATATTGTATCCTGACCCCGATACACCATCCTGTATACTGTCAATAAAGAGCTAATATAACTGTATAATCTCAAAAATACACTCTCAAACAATAAAAACCTGAGACTGTGTAATGCTGAACAACCAAACATTTTATTTAACATAAATTATTATGTACATTAGTATTTACACTAACAAAAAATACTGTCACAAGGAAGTACTTTCAGAACTTGTGGAGCAAAACAAATCTAAATAAATAAATATAATAACCTTTTTCTATTATAAACACTTTTTACCCTCCAGTACCTCTAACAAATACTCATACTCACACTCACGTTAATACCTGGGTGATACACATGTGTGATACACACATATCATAGCATTCAACACATCATGTTTATATTTCAAAGCAATTTAAATATGAAGGGGACATGGTTTTGTGGATTAACAAATCCATTATTATTATTATCCATTATTACAGTATTCTATTAATACTAAAATTGTATCTTCTATTCTATATCAAATTCTATTGATATATTCTATTCTTAAAAAAAAGTACATTAGATTAAACTGGGAAGGGTCATAAAACTTGCATATTGTTATCCTAGGTTTACTGCTTCTATTGTTCTCAATTGTAAGTCGCTTTGGATAAAAAGTGTCTGCTAAATTAATGTAAATCTGTTGTGGTTTGATGCTGTCTTCCCTGCATACAAAATGGTTAATTAATTTTGTAGTCTATCCTGGCTAGCAAGTTTAACCCTCCTACCAGATATTGTTATTTGGATATTATCAATCAAATAATGATTCATTATATTTGAATAACAGTGTTAACTTTTGCCTTTTTAACATTGCCAACATGTTTTTCCAGCACATGTGTCTAGCAAGTAACTTAGGCTACACTCACAAATACATTACATAAACAGAATGTAGAAACGAAAAATGTCTCAGATGATCCACTGTTTATGACTGCAAGATTCTAAGTTAAGGTAGGCTAATTAACATTCAGTGACTTGCTCATGTAGCATTCTATCATGATAGCGCGACTTCTATGAGTCTATCCGTGCTGCACACCCCTAATTAATGCTCCTAACCTTGAAAGATTGCAGAAGCTAGGTTTAACTGTAACAATATCCTGGGTAACCAGGATCACCAGTTAATACTATTTTCCACAGTAGAATCTGCATTTGAAAGCCTGGTCAGTCACTATTTGTGTGGCTAGTTATTTGTGCCTAGGCTACTTACACTCTGCTTTATGAAAAAGCTTCGTATGTCCCTTTTCTTATTCTTGGGTGACATAGCTGGTCTACAAAATACAAAAAGGGACAAAAAACGGAATATTAAAATGCTTTACTCTGGCCTTTGTATATGGCAGGCAGAGAGCCCTGGTAACTTACCGTCGGCGTCGTCACGCGCACACACACGCACACACCACCCGCTCGCTGCCAGTGAGTGCAAGCATAAAAAGTAGTCCCGGCCCGCGCGTGTAGCCTGCCTGTCAGATACCCCGCCGCCAATCAAATTACGGCGTATCTTGTACTGTCGTCGTCCTGGCCGTTGGAATCGATCCAAATAGCAGCGCAAAGATCCAAATGCAGCGCATATATCAAAATAGCAGTTCAAAGGAGCTTGCTAAATATTGGTGGGGACAAATTTGTCATCTCAAAATATTGATTGGGACTAGTACCTAGCGTCCCCCCCTAAACCTACGCCCTTGATCCTGCCATTATTCCAACCTCTAAGCATTGCCATGCAGTGCTGAATTTTGGAGTTGAGAAACTAAATTGCAAATCTCCAAAATAGGCTTTCACTAAATTTGTTATTGACATTGGTACTCTGAAAAAATCAAATGCTGCCCAAAGAAGCTCATGTGGCACTGAACCATATGCATTAGTCAAATCCAGCAGTCACATTGAGCTCCTTCCTCTCCTTTTTAGCTGACTGAATTCGTTGCCAGATAACATTGATGTGTTCTAAGCATCCTGAGAACCCTGGAATGCCCGCTTTTTGAACTGAAGTGTCAACGAAGCCATTCTTTAACAGGTAAGTGGACAATCTCTGGGCAATAATGCTGAAGAAAATCTTACCTTCAACGTTTAATAGTGAAATAGGAGGAAACTGACTGATGCTTGTAGCATCTTTTTCTTTAGGTATAAAGACTCCACCTGCTCTGCGCCATGCTCTAGGTACAACCTGTTTTTCCCATGCCACTTTTATCAATTTCCACAGAATTCGCAGAACTCCTGAAGCACTCTTGTACACTCTGTACGGAACTCCATTAGGCCCTGGAGATGATGAAGCCCTTGCCTTTCTCACAGCCTGCTCTACCTCTTTCCACTTAGGTGCACAGACCTCCATTTGGTATTCTGGTGGGTTGATAGGTGGTATGTCTGATGGAATTGACATAGGCTCATGCCTTTTTGCATCTGTATGCGTTTCCTCCAAATATATTTTTTAGCTCAACCCTAGATGCTTTTAAAGTGCCATTCTTCTCCCTGGTGAATAACTTCTTTACGAATTTGAATGGGTCTTAGAAATTAGCCCTCGCACGTTCCTTCTTTTGTAGCGTTTCCGTAGGCGCTCAGCTCTGCGTAATGTTGCCAGCTTATCTTTTATGGCCCTTTGTAAGAGATTGAGTCCCTCCTTCTGACTTTGTTCTGCTCTTTTCCATTGCTTCCTCAGCTGTCTCCTTTCTCTAACTAACCCTTCAATTTTCTGCTGCCGTCTAGACATTGCAGGAGTAGTTTGTACTTTTTCCTTCCTTTTTTCCACACCAAACCTCTCACTTCCATATGCGTAAATGATGTCCCCAAATTTATCAAGCTTCTTTTCAACTGTACCAGTTAATCTTTCCAATGCAAAGCATAGATCTTTGTTTACCGTGTCCCATGCTGTTTTCTCACAAGCTCTTGGCCATCTAACTCCAGGCCTATGCCCGTTGAGGTTCTTTCCTCTCTTATGCTGGTTAGTCTGACCGGGTTCACAAGTATGAATTTGTTCATCACTAACTGTGCAAGCCCTCCTCCTTCGTAAGAAGTACTGATCAATGCGAGGCCCTTGTCCCTTCTCCCTCAAGCATTTCATTTTCCCTTGATGAACCTTCAAACCCCTGACCGTTGTTGCCTTGCTCCAGCCACAGACACAAACTTGGAGTTCAACGACTTTACTAACTGCAGATCTTGAACTAGTCTTACTCTCCATACTCATATCCGTTTCCATTCCTAAGTCGTTAACCATGTTGTCCAACATTGAGTCATCTTCCGCCCCCGCTCTCGCAGACTCTAGGGGTATTTTTCTCTTTAATTTCTCAGAAGCCTTAGGCGGGTGTCTCCAGCATCCTGTAAACACGGAGCTGGATACTGCCGACAAGGGTAGCTAACCCTTACCATACTGAAATTGTGATCAAACTGGGGTGACTGGAGCCCAACCTGTATGGGAAGAGGAATCTGCAGCATCAAGACCCGTGTAGAAGCGCCACAGGGAAGAGGAGACGACACCGCTCTCAATGACGTGATCATGTTCTGCTGTGATTAAGGTGATTTGATCGCAATCAAAAGCTCAGATCTTACTAATAGTGACTGCAGATCAACTAAATCAAATTTTTCTTTCAGGTGTAGGAGGATGCCAACAAGAACAGCAAGAAGATCAAATGTATTGTAATTATTGATCATCATTTTATGAGATACTAACATAAACCATGTCATACAACAGTTTTGTAATGTAAATCTGTAAATTCAGCCGGTCATTATCACAAAATATAATATGATTTGCTGAATTCAAATTCATATAAATGTAATGTTCTGATTGGATCAAAAAAGAAGCAGGCATGTTCTACTGACCAATCAAAGAAGGAGCTGGAGTGCGTTTCCCGAAAGCATCGTTAGCCAACTATGCTCGCAAGTTCTGTCATTCTCAGCAGTTCAACGAGTCTGTGTTTCCCGAAACCATCGTTCTAACGAACATTCGCAAACAGCATCGCAGAGTTGTGTGGTTGGAACGACAGATCTCGAGCTGTGGTTAGAAGCAGAGTTTCTAGATTGCAATACATGTGGACTTAATAAATCCTTATCTTGAGCAAAATAAGCAAGCTGACATTTAGTACAACCCGTGTCTTTTATTTAGAATACATACAAATGTCATTTACGTTTTTTAGTTTGTCAAGAGATTTAAAGCACCGTTTTTGAAGGGTGCGCATCTACGAACGAGCTCTACTATGTAAGAACGAGCCGATGATTGAATCTGGAAATTAAGAAAAATTGTAAGAAAAATTAGAAATAATCCTCAGATGCCATGTCTGTAATGTATAGCAAATCATCTAGCGTTAATTCGATCTCAAACAAATTAATTAAAATAAGTTATTACTCCACCATGTGCGAGACGTCATAAACCAACATGGTTGAACGACCACTTTGCGACAATACGGTTTCGGGAAACAGTCGTGACTAGCTAATTGATTTCTCCAATGATGCATCGTACTATGGTAGTTAAGCAGCGAGTTGCGTTCGTTGTTCTGGAAACACACTCCTGGATGAATTTGCTTAATCTTGTGTATAATAATTAGCTTTTTTCCTTAATAAACTTGAAAATGTTATGGTACTACACAGTCTCTGTGTCTGCCTGATCATTCTCACATCACAAGGGTTGAGGCGTCTGTTTCCCCCTGATCACTGGATTGTAATATTACAAATTTAAGAATATGTTTAAGATCTGCTGATCCTACATCCTTGCATTACATCACATGAAAAACTAAGGTGAACTACACTGTATTGGGCATTCAAAGTGAACATGATGGCATCAACTTATTGATTAGATTCATTTTAATTTCCATTAAAGGGGTTTGGTCAGTCTTTGATCTTCCTACTGAGAGTCAAACTGTGTGTGAAGGGGGGGGGGAGTATTATCTTCAGTCGGTAATCAGCATCTTCTATTGTCTTTAGATGATTCAATTAGGTGGTCATCTGTAAGGCTGTGTGTAAGGTCAACACTTTTAAGGACTGCCCACTGAATGCCTATAAGATACCATGGGAAGTTCCTTTAGTCAGACTGTATGACTGCATCTCCCGACAGCTCGTGTTCTCAGTAAAGAATCCTGCTGAAGATGCAACCAAGTCTCCTGGTCTGTAGCCTGGCCTCAGGGCCGGCTCTAGCCCTTTGGTTGCCCTAGGCGAGATTGATTTTTGTTTAATTACATTGTTTAAATACATATTATCTGACCATGTAACTTGTAGTAGATAAATTACAATTACTACCACCACTACTATTATTACTAATCCATTAGGCTGCTACAAGGCTAGGGGGGTACGGGGGCATGATCCCCCGTAAGAAAATTTTGTGCATTTTAATGTTAAATTCATCAATCTGGTGCACTTTGAGAGTTCAAAATTAAAAGCTCCAACCCATATTCAGTGTTCAAATTAAACAAAGAAAAATTCAAACCTCTTTTAGTTAGTGTCTGTCTACATTACATAATAATAGTTATAATATTAATCCCATGATAATACTCATTGTAAAACAATGCACTGAAAAATAAAGGAAACTTTCATAAGTTTTGTACTAATTTCTATACTAATAGAATGAGTATTTTTCTGTACTTCACATTAAAGATGTGATTGGGCCAGCCCAGTGTCAATCAAGAAAACAACCAATGGGCCGCTGATCTACGCGTTTCATGCGGTGTCAGGAAAAAAGCTTTTTTTTACCAATGCATTACACCAGCACTAACCCAGCGCCGCCGATCAAGCAAAACAAAACGAATGGGCTATTTCTATTTTAGCCCCCGGCCGCTTTTTTGCTTTATTTAGCCTATCTTTTTCGACGACAACTCACTACTCGTGCCTGTTCGCTCAGCGCTCACGGCGCCCGCGCCCGCTCGCGATATTATTGGAGGGGGGGTCCCCTGTCAAAATTCTATGATGAAATCTTATGAGGGCGCCTACTCCGCTACACATACCGGTATACCCACTTTTTGCGCCACTGGCAGGCTTATGTAATTGCTCCACTCGTTGCAGTGTTAATGAAGTACAATAAAAGCGGAAAGTTTCTTACGCGGCTCTGGCGCCCCCCCTAGGGTTTAAGGCGCTTGCGCCCTTAGCATTTGCCTTTACTGCCTATGCCACGGGCCGGCCCTGCCTGGCCTGGTCTCAAGTGCTGTAGCAATGCATCACTTCTTTTCCATGATGTTTTCACTGCTGGCCATTATTGGGAATGTGAGCGGTCGGCCTCCAGTACGTCGTTATGAGCGGAGCGTCGACCGACCTTACAGATCTGAGCTGACGGTGTCGAATGGGATGAATTGGGGATCGTGGGGATATAAGAGCATGTGTCCAAGTGGAAGGTACGCCGCATGGTTTAGGTTGAGGGTAAGTTGGCTCTATTTTGCTAATATGGAGGGGATGAGCGCTTCAAAGGATCAAAACTGTGGAGTTGCTGTTTGTCATTTAATTCCAGGTTTATCCAAGGAACTGCACCAACTTGAGCTCTTTAAAGTGTCTGTGTAATACTAAAGAGCATGAAGATAATAAATGTTACTAAGTGTTGGGTTAGAGTTTACTCTTTCAAGTGGAAGATTGTCTCAATGTTGTTGTTTTAAGGTGGAAAGACCAATTGATGGTGATGATACAGCGCTCAATGGGATTCGTCTTTACTGTGTCGATCAGCCAGGCTCACATGACTACAACTCAGTTGAGTCCGACGTAGGAAGGTAATGGACTCAGACTATTAACAATTCTTGCATTAAGTGTTTAAGCTATTGAAGTAAATTGAGGATTTTCTTGAAAATAATAAATGAATTGATCAGGCAAAGCACTGTGTGTGTTTTCTTCAGCTGGGGTGAGTGGACAGATGTCAAATGGTGTAATTCTGGATACTTGACATCTTTCCAGCTGAGAGTTGAAGCTTCCCATGGAGATGGAGATGATACGGCCGCAAACAACATCATGTGAGTGTGTGGTGCTATAAGTTATTACATCTCTCACCCAGTGTATACCTCTTACACCATCTCTTACCCATCCTGGTTTTATTTTGCTATTTAAGGACTCTAGTTTCCCCCTATCAATAGTTTAGTTAATATCACTCTCGCAGTCGTGCTGCTGTTCGAGATTGCAGTGATTAGGCCGTCGGCTGCAGGAGATCATGTGACTGACATTCAATCCAACAGCACAATAATATATTCTATCATAATATTGTCACATCTGATTTTTTTCCAGGTTCACCTGCACTGGAGGTTTTGTGCTGGAAGGCGACGGCACAAACTGGGGCAACTGGGGCGGCTGGAGCCCAACGTGTCATGGAAGAGGAATCTACGGCATCAAGACCCAGATAGAAAAGCCACAGGGAAGAGGAGACGACACCGCTCTCAATAACGTGATCATGTTCTGCTGTGATTAAGATGATGTGATCACAATCAAAAACTCAGATCTTACTAATAGTGACTGCAGATTTAGAAGTAAATCTGATTTTTTCTTTCAGGTGTAGGAGGATGACAACAAGAAGAGCAAGACGATCAAATGTATTGTGTTGTATTTATTATGATAAACTAACATAAATTATGTCATACTACAGTTTTGTAATGTAAATCTGTAAAGTCAGTCGGTCAATATGATTGGCTGAATTTAAATACATATAAATGTAATGTTCTGATTGGCTCATAAAAGAAGTAGGCATGTTCTACTGACCAATCAAAGAAGGAGCTGGATGATTTTGCTTAAACTTGTGAATAATAATGAGCCTTTTTCCTTAATAAACTTGAAAATGTTATGGTACTACACAGTCTCTGTGTCTGCTTGATCATTCTCACACTGTAAACCCTAACGCTCAAAATAATTAATTTGGTTGAGTAGGACAAACGTAAATTTAACTAGTAACTAAATTAATTAGTTTAGTCATATTAACTTTCATCAGTATTTAGCAGTTTCTTTTTCTTTCAAGTTCACAAACTGATATATTTTAAGTAAACTGAACTGTTTCAATGTTTTGTGTTTTATGAAATTATTTCTTTTAATTTAGACGAACTTAATTTTAACTGAAACGGCTGGGATGTCTATTTCCCAGCATGCTTAGCCGATGGCACTTAAAAGGGAGAGTAAATGCTAAAATTAAGTGTAATATAATGTTTTTTTGTTTTTTTTGTCCAAGATTAATGTTAAGTGGGAGATTTAGTAGAGATAAATGTTTTGTTATGCTAATTTAGAAGAATTTCTGTTAATGTTGGTTTTAGGATAGTTACCATCATGGTGACAAGTGGTGCATGCAGCTTGATTTGAGAGCAATTAAAATCTTTATATTGCTGCACTCATACAGTAAGTGCTACAGTATAACATACTGTTGTTAATATGTTAACAAATTAGCATATTAGCAACCTAGCTCTTTGAAGCTAATGAAGTTTATACTAATGAAAGTGTTCACATTGATATTACATGAAGGTTTTAAGTTAAATGTATGAATAAGTGTGCTCAAACATTTCAAGTTAATCCATGCTAGTGCAATTCCACTAATGCCAACATAATTTTTGAGTCGTTTAAAATAATGTTGTGGTCGATAGTGTCAAATGCAGCATTTAGATCGAGTAACACTAATAGAGAGATACAGCCAGGATCGGATGATAAGAGCAAATCATTTGTGACTCTAATGAGAGCTGTTTCGGTACTATGGTATGGTCTAAATCCGGACTGAAAATCCTCGCAGATATCATTTGTTTCTAAAAAGGAACATAAGGATACTGCCTTTTCTAGTATCTTTGACAGAAAAGGCAGATTCGAGATCGGCCTGTAATGAACTAATTTCTAATTAACAAGCGGTTTTATCATAGCGAGCTTAAATGTTTTTGGTACGTATCCTAATGACAAAGATAAATTAATTATATTAAGCAGAGGATCTATGACCTCTGGAAGCATCTCTTTCAATAGCTTAGTCGGTATAGGGTCTAACATACATGTTGTCGATTTAGATGATTTAACGAGTTTAGAAAATTTTTCCTCTCCTATAGCAATGAATGAATCGAATTTTTCCTCAGGGAGACTACAATGCACTGTCTGATGCGATAATGTAGTAGACGGTTGCATAGTTATAATTTTCTCTCTGATATTATCAATCTTATAAGTAGAGAAGTTCATAAAGTCATTACTGCTCTGCTGCTTGGAAACTTCTGGTCTTGAAACTTTATTTTTCGTTAGTTTAGCCACTGTTTCAAATAAATACCTCGGTTTTGTTTATTTTCTTCTAATAGATTTGAAAGATAAGCAGATCTAGCAGCTTTTAAGGCCTCTCTGTAAGCAGTCGAGCTCTCCTTCCATGAAATACGAAATACCTCTAGTTTAGTTTTCTTCCATTTTTCTGGCTGCTCTCTTAAGGGCCCGGGTGTGCTCGCTGTACCACGGCGTTGGACTATTTTTTTTAATCTTCTTTAAAGGGTCATGAAACCCCCCTCTTTCAGCTCAAGTCTAGCTCACAATCTTTTTGAAAAATGCAACTTAAATGGGCGTGGATGGCTGTGAGAAGAGGTGTGGTATGGCCATCACTGTCATCGCCAGTATCCCATGCATATCGACTGTCACTAAAAGAAGTGGTAAAACGTGAGGAAATGCTCGATTTTTTTTATAGCTGGCAAAGTTAAAGTCTTATGAAATACGACACTTTATTATTGTCCTTTCAAAAGTAACTGAATGCCCTGCTATATTACCCTACAGTAATCATAATTCTATTGAGAACATATTAATGTAGGCTACATGTATAATTATAATGTGATTATAAAATATATAGTTGTTTATAGACACTATAAATACATATATATAAAAAAAAATGTTTATTAATTTTCCGCCAAAAAAAAACCGTTCGGTGCATAGCCTAGATCTACGCGCCCCCTGAACCCCCATAATAAAGAAGGCTCTGTGGAGGTGGATGACTTATCATTTTAGACACACACACACACACACACACACACACACACACACCTCTGAAGGGATAGAAAAGTCCTCGGGACTTGGTACCGCATCACTCGCAAGAAGCAACCTGCATTGGTTGTCAACAAGGCGAAGTCCACCATTCTCCACTTCTCGAAGCTCTGTTTGCGGCACACACGTTTAGATGTGTCCGTGGTTGATGGAAAACCAACCGCCCGGAGCCAGAGTCAAGCCCGGGCAGCATCGCGGGGAAACATATTTAACCCAATTGGACTTTTGCACCACGAAAACAAACACTTGCGTGCGTTCCATGATTGCCTATCTCATCTACTACGCGATATCACAATTTGACATGTCTGTCATTGGAAAGATCCACGTGGTGTCATGAATAATTAAGAGACAGTGTCTTCTCATAGGATATGAAAACTCAGTCTCATTAATAATTATGAGACACCGATGAGTCATCAACGCACTCACAGTGCACTGCCACGTCACAGCCTGTGACGTGGACACGATGAAGATTTTAAACCCGGAAGATGAAAAAGCGGAAAAAACCTCAAATTTAACCATTTTAACCCTACTATTAAATCTAACTGATGCTAGCATTGTCTTCAATTGTGTTCAAAATACACACCTCTGTTAAAATCTCAGAAAATTTGGTTTGGGGTTTCATGACCCTTTAAGCGCAACGGAGCAACTGTGTCTAAAGTGCTGGAACAGAGAGAGTTAAAAGTTTCTGTTGCAATATCGAGTTCTTCTAAGCTATCCGGGATGTCGAGATGATGAAACTGTGATTATTAATAAAGCAATCTTTATTTGTAACACGAGTCGGCTTTGCAGCCTTGGCTAAATGTAATTTACACAAAACTAGATAATAATCTGAGATGTCATCGCTCTGCTGCAGAATTTCAACAGCATCAACATCTGTTCCATTTGATAGTATTAGATCTAGAGTGTGATTACGACAATGAGTAGGTCCTGACACGTGTTGTCTAACTCCAATTGAGTTACGAATGTCTTTAAATGCCAATCCCAATGCATCCTTTTCATTATCTACATGTATATTAAAATCACCAACAATTCATCTGCAGCCAATACTAACTCTGATAGAAAGTCCGCAAATTCCTTGATAAAGTCTGTATGGTGCCCTCATGGCCTGTATACAGTAGCCAGCACAAATCTCAAACATGATTTATCATTTACACTATATTTCACTAGTTCACACTTACATATAATTAGAGGGATTAAGTTTAATGCATATTTGGCGTGCTGTCCGAGGGAAGGGCTTCGAGCTCGGAATTCGGCCCGAACCCAAAGTACTCCCCCCGTGTGTAAGTGCTTATGACAAGAAGTGAGGAGAAAAGGGCGGTGGAGGGATGCTGCAAAAACTGCCAATGCAACGAGGTGAGACCACACCTCTCGTCGTTGATTGCTGAGTGCTCTCCACTCGCATTAATTATCTGCGCGTGCTTCTCCTGAACCTTGTTAATAAAACATCATATTGTTAAATTAAGCACCAACACTTCAAAAGAATTATATTTAAAACTAGACTTCTTAGTACCATTTACCATTTACCATAAGTGCTTTTGAAGTAAGGGATTGAATATTCAGCAACCCAAGCTTTATCATTTGCTCATTTATATTATATCTGTTTTTTATTTGTTGAACATCAATTACATTTTAACCTTAGATGGGTTTGAAAGTTTTTTGTTAGGAATTTCCTAATAAGTATTTCCTAATTCGGGGAACAAACACAGTCTCTATATGATGATATCTTGAAAGAGGCTCTGTGTGATGGGATTTATCTGACCTTGGTGACGTGAGACTCTCTAGACAATATGTAATATATCTTGATAAGTAAGCTAAATTTAGCAAATAAGAACAACAAGGAATGATATTAAATAGAGATTCAAAACAGACGGAGCTTACAGACATAGACCAGCAGCAATACAGATGGAGCAATCGATCAAGCACATATGCAAATATGATCCATGAAGAGTCTCTGTGTATGTGTGTGTGCTTCTTGATTGATTCTGGCATCGTTTGTGATCGTTGGGTGCAGGTGTGGGTTTACAATCTTTAGTTTAGATCAGGACTCTGGACTGGCCATTTCATTATTTCAATTTTCTGAGCTTTAAGGAACTGCTTTGCCCGTTTTGCAGTGTGACAGGGGGCATTGTCTTGCATGAAAATTGTGGGCTGATTGGGAGATGCTTGCAGGGAAGGAGCCATATGTTGCCAAAGGAGGTTCTGATAAACTTTTGCATTCACCCTGCCATGTAGCTGGTAGGTTTAAAAAATTGAAATTATGAAATGGCCAGCCCAGAATCCTGATCTAAACCCGATTGAAAATCATTGGGATTGAAAATCCTTGGCGACAAAGTTATGGCTAAGAAACCCACTACAGTTACTGAACTGTGGAAGAGACTGTAAGAAGAGTGGACCAAGATCACACCAGAGCAGTGTGAGCATCTAGTGATGTCCTGTGGCCGCAGATGGGGCCTGGGCCCTGCTGGCGCTCTCCACACCAAGAGGTGAAAAGTTTCCACCTCGCGGCATATAACTTCCTCGTGGAGGGAGCTCTAGATTGGAGGATGGTCTCAA